CCCCCGGGGGGAAGAGGAGGAAGGGGTGGGGGAAAAGGGAGGGGGAAAGCAAAAAAAAGAAATAAATAGAGAAGAGGGGGGTGGTGATGATGAAGCAGGGGAGGAAAAAAAAAGAAGAAGGGGGGGGAAAAAGCGGAGAAAAAAAAAAAAGCAAAGAAATCCCCCCCCTCCCCCTGCGCCGCCTGCCCTCCGCTCTCTCAGCAGCACATTTCGCCCTCGCTTCTCTCTCTCGGAGTGAAACTTTTCTTGTTTTTCTTCCTCCTTTAAGGCTTTGTGTGTGTGTGTGTGTGCGTGCGTGCGTGTGTGTGTGTGTGTGTGTGTGTGAGAGAGAGAGAGAGAGAGTGAGAGAGTGAGTGTGTGTGTGTGTGTGTGGGTTCCCCCCACCTCTGTGTGCGTCTCTCTCTCCTTGATCTCCTCTGGGTTTGCTGTTTTGTTTTGTTTTGGTTTTTGTTTTGTTTGGTTTTTTTGTTTGTTTTTTTGTTCCTTCTTTTATTGGCAAGTTTTTGTTGCTGGTGGTGGCGGTGGTGGCGGCGGTGGTTGGTGTCCTAAGAAAACTTCCTGGGATGCGGATGGCGGCAGGAGGAGGGCTGGCCGGGAGGATGCTGCTGCATGTCTCAAAGTTGGGCTGTCGCTGGAGCACTTTGTTCCCTGTGAAACCAGAGTCCGGTCGCAGCCTGCTCGCTGGAGTCGCAGCCCGGATGAGTCATGGTTCCTCGCTTTTTAGGCCGGATTTTTTAATTTTTTTTTTTAAAGTTGAAATTTCTTGCAAAAACAACAACAAAAAAAAAATTTTTTTTTTTTTTTTTTTTTTTAATTCCAGCAGTTGGCTGAGGAGGGAGGAGGAGGAGGAGGAGGTGTGCCTTGGCGGAGAGGTGTGTGCCTGCGTGAGTGCATATAGGGTATCCTTTATACACTGGCTCCGGTGGGGAAGTTGGCTGGCGGGGGTGCTGGGGTGGAGCCCCTCTCCTCGCTCGTGCCCACGTCTCCTGCTCCGCGCTCCCCGGCTGCCCCTGACAGCTCCGCTCCGCTCCGTCCCGCCCTCCCGAGCGGGGCCGGCCGAGTGCTGCCCCCGCGCCGCGAGAGCCGAGCACCACCACCACACTTTCCCAAATACAAGGAAGTTGAGCGCCAGCGCCCCCGCGGATTGGCTACCCGCTGCGTGATTGACAGCCCCGAAATGACTGGCTCAGGACGCCAGGCCCCCCTTCCGGCCGTTCCGATTGGTTGCTTTTTTTTTTAGGCAAAGTGTCGTAGGAGCTTGGAACAGCAAATAAATCGGAGGGCTCGCAGCGCCACAGCAACTTGGGCAGGGGGAGGGGGAGAAAGGGAGAGGGAGAGTGGGAATGGAGAGGTGTGTGGGGAGAGGGGTGAAAGATAAGGGAAGAGAGAAGGAGAAACCCCCCCCCCCCACACACACACACACTGTGATAAAGCATGGATTGGAGTTGCATGCACTAGAGTCCCCTCATGGGCACCTAATTCCCATCATTTGTAAGCAGCCATTGTCTATAGGCTACAGTCTGCATCATTCAGACAGTCAACACCTCCAGAAAGAAGTGTCCTCTCACGGTGCAAAGTTTTGCCTTTCATTTATTTCCCTCTTGTTTAGATCTCCAAAAGCCTTTTTGGGTGGAGTTTTTTTTGTGTGTGTGGCCAATACACGTCTCCATAGCGATGATCAATTAACCGATCTTAGGCTGCAGCTAACATGGCAAGTTGTTCCCTTAATGACACGCAACCAGCCCCGCGCTCCTTTGTTTTAGTTTGCGAGTTCCCCTAGACGGACGCTGCAGCTCCTCGGGCTTTGCACACCTCTGTGCACACGTGCGGGTCGCTGCTTCGGACCCAGAAGGGTTGGGACTGGGCACAGCACCCCATCCAGCACAGCTCGAGCGTAGACCCACGTGCATGTTATGAAAGATGTTCAACCTGAATGCCTTCATTTGAGTGTGGGGGGAGAGATCAAGAATGAATCCTTCAGGTCCACCAAACAATCATTTGCCCCATGTCCGTGTCCTACCGGTCTGTTTATATATACACATATATATGTATATGTGTGTGTGTGTATGTAATATATGTATATGTGTGTATATATGTATGTGTGTACGTATATGTATGCGTGTGTATATGTAGTATATGTATATTTGTGTATATATATGTGTGTGCATGTAGTATATGTATATGTGTGTGTATATATGTGTGTGTATGTATATGCATGTGTGGTATGTATATGTAGGTATGCGTACGGGTAGATGCATACTCCATATATATATATATTTTACTCTCTAAGCTGTGGTATTTCACAGGAAACCAAGCTGGTTGTATGAAACGTTTTATTATTTCTAGTCCAGCTGAAAGAGTTAAGGGGGGCGGGGGAAGGAGAGAGAGAGAGAGAGAGAGAGAGAGAGAGAGATGCGACCAAGCGGAAACGCTGCTCACAGGCAACCTCAGTGAACCAAGAAAAAAGAGAAAGTGGCAACCAAAACAAGGGCAAATTGAACACTCCTCGGGGATTTCCAATAAAATAACACAATTCGGACATTCAAGGAACACATCTTTACTAATGATTGTGTTGGTGTGGTGCGATCCACACGTTACCGAGCATACGCACCTATAATGTAGAGGCATATGTATATATGAATCTCGTGTGTGTGTGTGTGTGTGCATGTGTGTGTGCGATCGCCCGGGTCTATAGATAGCAAAAATGCATTATGTTTACATCCAAACGTGAAACACAAACGCCCCTCCCTCCTCTCCCACTTAATAATTTCAGCCCGGAATTCAGCTTAGTTCAATTCAGTTTCCAGCCCAAGCCCAATAGCAAGTATGCAGCATTTGCGTGATCTGAAGATTAACTGTAGACTGGCAGAATTTATTTAGGACTCGGTCCAGGTCTTGCTTGCACGGTAAAAGATACCACCGTAGGTAGTTTTAGAAAAACCATTAATGTGAAGTATACAGATCTGAAGAGCAATGGTAACTAAACCCTAAACATAACGATTTTTTTTTGTTCCCATGCGTCCTCCAAAGGTTTCTTTTTTATATATAAAAGATCTAACACAGATTTCATTGAATAAATCTGAGATCTCCAGGTGCAGGCGTCTGAATAGTCAGTGCCAGAACCCCATGTTTTCCTTTCCAGCCGATTTTGCTTGGATCAGGCTCAAAAACCGAGTGAGTCTCGTGGTTTTGTTTACACTGAATGGGGAGGATAGGAACGGTGCCATGGGGCCGTCTTTCATTAATATACAGTGAGGATTTTGTCTAAATTACTGCTATGAATTTCACAGTACACGCTTTCAAAAGCCGTCTCAGGTGGCCTGATGAAACGTGATAGCGCCTCTGCAAACAGATCTACTTTCTTAATAAAAAAAAAAGGAAGAAGAAAAGAAAAAAAAAAGAAATCCTAAAAAAATATTGTACACACGCACAAAAAAAGAGCTAGTGCTGGAGTTTTGTCTTTTATTTGTTTTTAAAAAAACTTAGTTCCCCAACTCTCGCCCACCCCCTCCCTCGCAGAGTGTGATTGTTTTGTCTGGAAAAAAATCCAAAGTATAACAAGGGGAGAACAGTTAGTGCTGATTTTCATTTGCATAAATTTTCATATATTTTGGTGAAAATAATAGACTAGTGGAGAGCTGGGCTTAGTGGAGTCAGTGCAAAGGAAAATCTTAGCATGGATGGTTTCGCTGGAGTTGAGAACATGCTTTTTTCCTTGTCACCTTATTAAAATAATTCTTTTTTTTAAAAAAAAATCTCTAAATCCTGGAAGTTTGGTCGGTAAGTGTTTGTCATTTTTTTTCTCTATTTTTTGTTTTCTTGAAAGCCTTCTGAATATATTTTGGAAAGCTTAGGACAAGACAGGGAGCCCATGGCAACTCTCTAGAAGGAAACAAGCTGTTTTAAAAAAAGCCCAACAGGAACAAAAAACACCTTAGTGAAATATTACATTAAAAAAACCATGGATTCATTCCAAAAGCTCAAGGCAGGAAAGCAATTCTTTAGTACTGGAAAGTGTTCTGGTTCCTACTTTACTTTTCTGGGCACTGTTAATTATTGCAGCACTAGTGCTCAAGGAAAAAAGAAAAACAAGAGCCCTAGAAAATATTACAGATCCTAAAGACTGAAGGATGATAAATATGTATTGTTTGCAAACCCTTCTTCAGGAGAATCTCTTCCGAGGCTGGGGGAGCTAAAGCAGGTTTAAACAGCAGTAGAGTGCTAAGGGGACAAGTGAAGAAGGAGAGAACTGGACACCTGCTGAGAGAGCTGGGGAGTGAGAGAAACCAGTGTGGTGCTGGGGGAGGAAGAGGAGAAGGTGGAGAGCGGTGGTGCGCACAGAGGGTTAATATTGTAACTAGG